AAAAAAAAAAACAATATAAAAAAAAATATTTTTTTTTTTTTACTACCCCCGTATAAAATGATATATTATAATAAATAAATAAATAAATTACCAATATAAAGGAAAATAATTATTTGAAGTGCGGGTGCGGGGAATTTTTTTTTTTACAATGTTATCAAACTTTATTATATTATTATAAGTATACTTTGTAGTATACCGTGTCCGTAAAAAATTCCATATCATCCTAATTTATGTTCGAACTTTCAATAAATAAAAATCGTACATTTTTTTAGCAAGAAAAATATAGGAAATATTTATTTAATAATTTTTTTTTTTTTTTTTTTTTTTTCTTATTTCTTATTATTTTTCGCGAAAATATAACTAACGATAAATAATAATAATAATAATGGAAATAACACGCTTGATCAGGTAGGTTTATTTTTTTAAATTTTTTTTTCATTAAATGCATTTCTAATAATTCTAATAATTTTTCAACATATTATTTTTATATACATTACATTTCAATCAATATTTACAAAATTTTAAAAAAAAACATTTATTTTTACACGTTTACGAATAAACGTTTTATACGTTTAGTAATGGTAATCCAAATTCAATAAAAAAACAAAGACATTCGCAATTATTATCTCATATCAATACATCGGCTACTTTACACCATTCTCATAAAGAGCAACTTAAGACGACATCTCAAATACAAACACAGCAGCAATCTCCAACACATGTTCATCATCATCAACATAATAATAATAATAATCATCAACAACAACAACAATTACCTCGAATTCTTTCACCCGTTCCACTTTCACAACAACCTTCACATCCTTCACATCCTTCACATACCATTTTAATACCTTCCCCAATACCATTACATCATCATCATCAACAATCAATTCCAACTCCTCCTCAATCTACTCAGATTCCATTAATGGATTTACATCCTCCTCCTCCTCAATCACAACAACAATCACAAACTCCGACTCATACTCCTCCAAATCGTCGTATTGCTCATATTTTATCCGAACAAAAACGTCGTGAGAATATTAATTCTGGTTTTGAAGAATTAAAAAGTATCGTACCAAGTTGTCGTGGATGTGCTGATTCGAAAGCTGTGATATTACGAAAAGGTAAAAATTTGAAAAATTACAAATTATATTAATATTTTTTAATTTAAAATATGTATGTATATAATAATTTCTTGGAAGAATAATTTTTGAAATTTTGAAATTTTGAATAATTTTTTTTTTTTTTTTGTATTACTCTCTCTCTTCTCTTCTCTTCTCTTTTCTTTTTCTTTCTCTCTTTTCTTTTTCTTTCTCTTTTTTCTTTTTTCTTTTTTTTTTCTTTTTTTTT